CCTTAATACAAATTAAAAAGTTGTACCCTTTTAAAGAAGACATTTTTAATCAATTCCTAATCACTCATAAATATATATTCCCATGCCAAACTAAAGTCCTGTTTGCTTTTTGACAGAGTATTTTATGTAAGAAATTATGAAATTGTGTGTTTGAGATTAATGCAAGAGGAGAGAAATGTGAATCATCTAATGCTTCCCTTAAAAGAACGAGAAACTTTATTTTGGGACGGCCAAAGAAGGAAACAAAAATGTTTGTTTATATTTGTTCACAATTTAGATTTAATTATTTAAAACGGGTAAAAGAATGACCAAAGGTTACTCTCTTGGTTTTCTGGACAAATAAAAAATTCCCGCGCTTACTTTGAGAGAAAAAAAAACTGTCTTAGCCTAGCAAGATCGTTCAAACAAGCAAAACAGTCAAATCTCAAAACACACCTTTTCTACACCACAATTCCTCTCCCCATAAAAAAAACCTCTATGGTCTGGTTGTGGTGTTAAGGGATAGGAATGATTCTACCAAGCACTCCCGAAGTCATTATTTTATTTTTGACATTGATCTACTGATAACACAGAAGAACTACAAATACTTAATGAGGTAGTAACATAAGAAAAAAGTTACCTCGGGTGTAGTCGGTCAATTTCTTGTGGAAAATCATGACATGTAGACATGACCAGCCGGACATAGCTGCACACATGTTTCAAAGTGAAACCATTTCAACAATATAATACTCTGTAAATGTTTTCTAGTGCATATATGAAGACCTACAAGCAAACAGTAGAAGGATACATTGTTACAGGAAACAAAGAAAGCCTACCGAATTTCAGATTCCTTCCGCTCCCGAGGACTAACCTGAAAGAAGGCAAACACTTGAAAGATGCATCATAATTTTTTATGATTTCAAACTGACAACAATAAAGACTACAATAACTAAAAGTTACCTCACTTCCATTCAATATTTTCACTCCTGCTAGACGTGCCACCAAAACATACCGGGCTATACCACCTTTTCCTGGATCTGCTATTGGATTCTCTGTAAGTCTTACTTCCTTGACAAAAAGGAATTCATACCCATGAATTTCAGTCACATATTGCAGCCCTACTGGCTATTTTATGGACCTCCAGTGTGAGTTTCATATATTAACCAAATTGGCACGCCATGAAGGTCTTAACTATTTGCTGGGATTCTAAGAATATTGTTTTTGATAAGGAGATTTTGAGAGTAATTGTCCCTAAGTTGACAACGGATCAAATGAGAATATGAGACACCAGACATATCAAAATTAGAGCTTACCGACAAATTTGGGAAATAATTCAGTGAATCAACAGATTCCAGATCTTTAATGTTGTTGCTGCCTGCAAGTGTTAAGAAAAATCAACAAGCTAAAGCTTTTTCAGGACAGAAGGGAAAAAAGAAGTCATAGACAGCTATAGTAAAAAAACCGGTATTACCAAGAAGAAGGGAATGCAAATTTTTGAAAGGCCTGGAGCTGTTCCGAAGACATTCATCCCCATTTGGGGTTTCATGTAAAGGGTCGCAATCAGGGTAACAGATGCGGCATAAACTATTGTGATTCAAAAAAAGCTGCTGCAAGCTAATTTTAAAAAATGATAATGAGAACGAGAACTGACCATAGTAAAAGTAATGCAAACCAGAAGCAGTAAAAATTGAGTGTTTTACATGAACAGAGAAAATCTATCTATGATACCTTCTCAGCTGCGAAAGCTTCAAAATTTCATCCCAAGATTCTATGCAGTTATCATCCAAATTAAGGAGATGCAGAGATTCAAACCCTTTGACAAAACTTGAAGATGATGGCTAGATAGCAAAAAAAGGTTTGGTCAGAGGTACTTTAACAAGCACTTTTTCCTACCAAAACAACGATTTTTATATGCATTCCATGAAGGATTGATTGTATGCACGCTTCCATTATAGCCTCGTATTTCACCGTAATTAGTGAATACTGTATATTAGGGAACACGGGTAAGTGAAAAGAAATAATAACAAGAAAGATCATATCAATTGAGACCATGCAGTAAAAATAGTCAGACGGATGTACAACATGATCCAAAATTATACAAAAACTAATAGCAAAGATATAGAACAGCGATGAGTACCACTATCTCTTTCAATTTATTCCCAACTAGATGTAGCTCTTCTATGACTGGAAGGGAATCTTTAAGAATTTCAACCTGTCAATTATCATGTGTTATAATTAACAAGTGTTCGCAAATATTAACAGATAATAAAGAGAAAAAAGAACACTTACATGCCTCCAGCTGATTCCAGTATAGTTTAAAACTAAAACTCGAATATTATTTAGCAGCGGCATTCCATTTATATCATGTGCCATAATGTTATGGGATAGATCCAGAGCCACTAGAGCTGGCAACGCTTTACAGATTGCACCAACATCCTAGTTATTAAAACAAACATCCAAGGGTTCTGTTATTGGTTTAATTACAACCTCACAAACAAGTCCTTAAAAAAAAAAGACAGACAAGCAAGACTGCATAACATGCCAAGACCAAAAGACAGAAATTTTTTTAACTCCTTTGAAATTGACTTAAGAAGGTTGATCTTCATACTTATTGAAACATTGCACATATTGCTCTTAAAAAAACCAAAAATAAACAGAGAATAGTCAAACTCCTTTCCATGTGCTTCATCCTATTTCTTTTAGGAGTCTGATCCCTTGATACTTCTTTTACTATAAGGGGCATGACCCATTGGGTTTTACCGAAATCCTAATGGCAACTGAAACAGCAAACAACTCCAGCAATTGACAGCAAAAAGTAATTGACTAGTATCATCATCTGAGATACCACTGCAAGCAATTAGCACGAATGGGGTCTCCAAGATGTTAAGCTTTCATGAATAGGGGAAAGTATTCACAAGTCTTGATTCATTTCTCAAACAGTTCTTTGATATTCAAATAACTACTCTCTGTAGCAGTCACTTTCTGATGAGTTGACCATGAACTTAGGAGGTCATGCACCAAAATTGACTGCATAATGGAAGTTAAAGGAGACTAGTTGTTCTAAATCTATATTATGGGCGACTGGGTGGTTCACATTTGTACAATGCCTTATGCTTACAGAGCCTATAAATTCAAATAATACCCGCAGCATTTTAATAGAGCAATGATAATAGCAATGAGAAAATTGGGTGAAATTTATGTCAGAACACCAGGAAATTAATGAATGTCACTTGATAAACAAGTAGGGTACCTTCCACTCGTAAAACATGTTTCTACTCAAATCAAGCTCCTTCAGATCTGTAAAAACAAGTCATAATGTAACAAAAGCTGCACTGTTATTGAATTGCTTTATGGCATGTTTGAGAACTTGAATTTGGATTTCAAATCCGGATTTGGTTCAAATTCAATGTTTGGAAAACTTATAAAGTTTGAATTTGTATTTGAGTCAAATTTCTCTCATTCATAACAAAGCTCAATTTGAAATCCATACATCTCACCTTGTCCATTGAAATTCAAGAATTCAAATTTTGGAATTGAAACGCATGAATTGAAATGAAGTGCTAGTTCCCAAACACTACCTAACTGAATTTGAAATGATGTGCCTGCCAAAACTGAGCTAGAGAAAATTAAACATATTGAAGAAGCATTTCATTTACTTGGTATAGTTGTAGCAATGTGGCATGGATCTCCAGCAGAGCTGACTCCTAAACAAGACAATGATGCGCTTTTCAATTCCTCAAAATGACTTAGTTTATTCTGAATTTTTTCTCTACCCAGCAGCTCAACTGTTACTCGCCTGTTGCTAGCAGAGAAAACATACATCTCATCTGCCCCAAAGGAAAAACAAAACAAAAACACATAATTTTATCTGTATATTTCTACCATATAAAACAGTAATGATCTGTGTATTTCCTTCGCTCTGGTTGATTCTCCGATTGGGAATCGATAAGGTAATAGTTCTACTTACGGTCTTCTTCTTCGCTAGAAGCCGTCCGGTACCGGAGCTCGAGGGCTTGCAAGAGTGAAACTCCGGCACTGAGGTTTTGCGGCCGCACAAACGACGCCGTAGCGTCGCCGGAGGCATCGAAGTATCGGACTCCGTTGTGGCAGCCGTCGTGCTTGCCGCCACCATTGTCCCAGTCAACTCCGATCCACGTTCCCGTGTAACCTTCCACAGGACCGATGTATTTCACGGTGCCGATCCGGCGGGGGTCTACGGCGTAATGCACTCGTTGGCCGACCCGGAAAATGGTCGAACCGGACCCGTTACCGGGTTCTCTCGAATCGGGTCTCTCAGAGCTTTGCATATTGAGGATTGGTGAAGTCTGAACATGTGCTGGGCCTAGTATTATTATCTTGGTTGTGTTTTTCTTAAGATTTTTTTTTTCGGATTTCTTTTTCTCCAATAAATTTTAAGCTTATTGTACTTCAAAAGTTGTACCCTAAATTATACTCTTTTATAGGTGTGTGTTTTTATTTTGTGACAATGTAATTATTGAACGAGCCCTAAAGTAAGCAATTAGTATCCTTTAGGGATGCAAAGAAGATAGAGAAAGTGATATCTGGAAATACTTTGCTTGATCTGATTGGATCTGATCTGGTTTTAATAAGAATAAGTAATAAGTAGAAAAAACAAGTTGAACGGAACCCAGTCTTAGTTCTATACCAGGGCCTGTTTGGAATAGTTTTAGAGATTAGTGTTAGCGTTTTGAAAAGGCTATCTACGGGCAGCGTTTACCGTTGGCGTTTTCAAAGTAATCTGCTCCGTTGAGATTTTATCCAAAACACCGACACTAATTTCTAACGCTATTTCCAAACATGCCCAAAGTCTATTATATTAACCAAAGATAGTAACAATCATAAACTAATAGCAATAGGTCAAGCATCACAAAACACAAAACTATATGCAGCATCAACCCAGACAACAGTGATCAAACAATCACCACCCCAGTAGCTGCTGCTGCCTTGTTTCCTTTAATTTGAAATCTCTCATCTACTTGTATATACTCCCTCCGTCCCAAAAAGTCTTTTCTGTTTCATTTTTTGCGCATCCCATAAAACACTTCTATCCCGCCTTGAATGCCAAAAAAACTTTCAAAATAACTTCTACCCACAATAAAGAAGAAATGTTGTAAATTTTAGGTATTTTAGATGTCGGTAGAAGTGTTTTATGAGATGCGCAAAAAATGAAACAGGAAAGACTTTTTGGGACAGAGGGAGTATTATTTTTTACGACCTAAAAGAACATGTTTTAAAGATAAGCTGGAGTAAACATACTCTTAGATCTTGTTCACCTCAACTTATTCCTATTACTTATTATTTTAATTTATATAACAATTTGTTTAATTAATTTAAGTTAAAATAGTACTTCTTTCGTCTTGCAAAATATTTAATTTCCTGTTTTGATTTTTGGGAGATGAAGCTGTTGAAATTTGATCAAGGTAAAACGACGGCAATTGAAACAATTAAGTAGCTAGGGCTCGGGAAACGTTAAAATGGGTAGGGTGTAGAAGGTAGTTGAGTAAGGTTTGGTTAGATTTAAGAAAACTAAAGAAAATTGTGTCCATTTAACCCAAATTGAAATATTTTATGGGACAAGATGTAATTAAAGTTGAAATAATTTAGGAGGCGGAGGAAGTAATTTATTTTTTGAATTTAATTACTTATAAACCCGGCCTTAGCCTACCCCTCCCTAAAAATAATGGCTTGCCCATATTGTGAGAAGGGTGAGGGTGGATAAGATGAAATATTTGCACTAAATAGCACTAAAACTTAAGTCATTTCCCTAAATAGCACTTAAATTGTTTTATTCTCTAAATAGCACTTAATAATGTTCATAATGACCAGTGATAACAAATATCTACTTGAATAATGACTAATGCATAATGACTAAAAATGCTACATTGGGAAGAAAAACACATGTGGTGCTATTTAGAGAAAGTCATTATGTTTAAGCCTGAATGTATTTTTGTTTTTGTGTAAATGACATCGAAAGTGTGTCCTCTAGACATATATATTGTCATGGTTATAAATGAATTACTATGTATTTTACTATTATAACTTAATCTTTGTTTATGTTTTAGAAATAAAATAAAATAGATCATATGACGATTAAATCAAAATTACAAAATGGGAAGAAACTGAGTGGACGAAGGGAGTAATTAAATTTTAACAAGCTTTATTGAGGTAATATAATTACTAGTAATAAACATATATGATGTGTTTAAAAATCATACATGGCATGCATAGACAAACACAACAACAATTCATAATGAAAATTTTGCAATATTAGAAGTACGTAACGCAGAGGGAGAGAATCAGAGTCGTTTCGTTATTGGTCATTAATTAATTACTCAGTCTCACGACGACGACTGTTCCCGTCGCCATGATCCTGACCACGGGGCACATCACGGAAACCACCGAACCCGTCCTCAAAGTTAGGGCCAGGGCCACCGCGGCAACGGTCATAGGGGTTGCATCCCCGGTCGTAAGGTTTTTGGGTCGGAGCTTCTTCGCATCTCTTGTTATCATGGCCACATCGAGGAGCATCAAAAGATATGGCGCCATTGCTAATCTCCTTAGCAACTCCCATGTAGAATAGATTTGTGCACGCAACGAGTCCGAATAGACAAACCACAAGGATAATGCCTCTTGTGTTGGCCATTGTTGATTAATGTCCTTATTATTATTATTATTATTAGCTTGTATTGAACTTATTGTAATAAACAATGTAAATTTATTTGTAACAATGGTAGGGACAACCTAGCTATGTGTGGGTGTGTATATATATGTGCTTACAAACCATAAGATGGATGTTTGGTGAAGCGCCATTTTTGCCCCTTGTAAGGATAGTATTAAATGAAATACTTGCCAAATAAAGGAGAGAACAATTGCCCTCAATTAATTTAGACGATATATATAAAGTGAAATTTAGTGCTATATAAACATATGGCACCTAATTATTGTGTAGTCATCATATGCATGTACAAATTAAACTAGTCCTAGTATTTTAAACCGTGCGATGCATGGAATAAAACGTAGTTTTGTTCGATTTTATAATTTTTTTCTTAAGGTTTTCTAATATAAGACCTCGTTCTTTTGAATTCTAACTCTAAGGGTCCATTATTTGGTTGAGAGAATAAAGTTTTTTTCCAAAAAAATCAATTGTACATTCTTATGTTTGGTTGAATTGTATAAGTCATGGGAAATTTTTTTTTAGGAAAATTATTCTCTTACGAAAGAAAAATGATTTTTTTTGGACAAAAGTTCATTTTCCTACTCAACCCATACGATGCACGGGATAAAACGTAATTTTGTTCGACGCTACAATTTTTTCTTAAGTTTCTCTAATATAAGTCCCCGTTCTTTTGAATTCTAACTCTAAGGGTCCATTGTTTGGTAGAGAGAATAAAGCTTTTTCCAAAACAAATCAATTGTACATTCTTATATTTGGTTGCATAAGCCATAGAAAATCATTTTTTAGGAAAATTATTCTCTCAACGAAAGGAAATTGATTTTTGTTTGTTTTGGACGGTAATTTTCCTACTCAATCTCCAAACACTCTGATTTTATGAACAAAACAAAAAATTCCCCCCTTCCCTCGCCCCCGACCACCGCTCCTTCAAATCCTTTAAATTGAAATTATACTATAAAGATTCGATACCGGTTGTGTATGCACTTAAAAATATTTGAGTGCATTTTTCATAATAATAATAATAATGTTAGTATTATTATTGTTATTAGTATTAGTATTTTTAAATGTGTATGTAATAATTTACAAATTATAATTTGTAAATGCATATATAATGAATATTCAGTAATAGTTTTCATCCCAATTTTTAATACTCCATCCGTCCCAAATTATTTGCCACATTTGTATTCCCGAGGCAAAATATCAAATTTTTTCAATTCATTTTATCTACATATTGGTAAAGAAATAAAAAATAAAATTTACATATAAAAAACTACAAGAAAAGTTCTTCGAAATAAGATGTGTCAAGAATATTTTATTTTATCAAATAATCAATGAAAACGTCGAAATAAACAAAAGTTTCCGACACTGCTAAAAAAGCAAATGTTGTGAATATTTAGGGACGGAGGGAGAATAAGATATTAAAACCTCTTAAAAACTTACAAGGATGACTCTTTTTTATCCATTGCATTTTTTATACTTTGGATTAAATTTTTTTCTTTTTGTTTTTAATAATTTAGTTGTTTTGTTTAATAAAAAAAATTAATGTGTATCACATTGTTAACATTATTTACTTATCACTACCAATGGTATATAAGGAAATTAAACATCTTTTTTAATTGGATGACTTCTATGGAAAAATTTTAAAGAGTGATTTTAGTTGTGTTTGTCAAGGAACCAATTCAACCAAAAGCTCAAGCTTGTGGTTGTGGCCCAGGATGACTTATTTATATTCTAACACGCCCCCTCACGTGTAGGCGTAGTCTTTTTTCGAGATTTGCACATGAAACTTTAATTTTCTTACAACTGGGTGACGCTGAGTTTCGAACCCGTGACCTCTTAGTCAACAAGGCTCTGATACCATGTCAAGGAACCAATTCAACCAAAAGCTCAAGCTTGTGGTTGTGGCCCAGGATTACTTATTTATATTCTAACAGTGTTTAATAAATACAGAATGATATTTGAAAGTTATTCAATAAATATTAATAATTATATTTTTACGTTAAATATCATCAAAGTTCTATTTTAGTACATTGTTTGCTCTGGGTATGTTATTGCTTTTACTTTTCTATCCTATAAAAAATCTATCACTACAAAATATTTTTAAACATTTATCTGGTTAGTTCAATTTTTTTCCTTAGAACAAATATCAAGAATCATAAAATAACTCTTTATGTGACTTTTTTAAAACCTAAATATAAAAATATTTTATCTTTATGTTAGTAATATATTTGAAAATTTTATATCTAAAACTAAATGTTATAATTCATCATTTTGAAATATAAATATATCAATATTAGAATTTTAAAAGATAAAAGTTTTTTCTTTTGTATTTTCCTTTGTGAAAATATTCTTTATTTCATAAAATAAATTATTATTTTCATTTGATAAAAATAAAAGTTTTTTCCTTAGAATTCGATATTATATTTTGTTTAAGTATTGAACACTACTCAGCTCTATGGGTATGTATAAAAATTCTCAGAAAAGAATATTATTATACGTAAATATGCTAATATTAACACAATTTTTTCATTAAACACTTAAAGACAATATATGATTTCAATCTGGAACCAAATTCTCAATGCTAGCAGCTATTATGTACTACCTCCGTCCCTGAGTATTTTTCTAATTTTGACTTTTTTCGGTCAACTGTTTTCAACCTTTGACCTATAATTAAATAAAATATACATTGTATTTTAATTAAATAAAATAATATTTTGAAAATATTTGATAGTATAATAAATCTAATAAAACTCTGTTTGTATCAATAGCTAATATCATTTTTATTTAATTTAAAGTCAAAGTTTACCAATTTTGACCAAAAAAAGTCAAAAGTGGACAAATACTCAGGGACGTTGGGAGTATAATGTAAATCATATACCTCAACGCTAGAAGCTACTTTGTGATAAGTTGAGGATGAAAGCATAATATTTTCGTTATTTATACCTATATAAGCTAATGAAATACTCCCTCCGTCCCAAAAAGTCTTTCCTGTTTCATTTTTTGCGCATCTCATAAAACACTTATATCCCGACTTGAATGCCAAAAAAACTTTCAAAATAACTTCTACCCACAATAAAGAAGAAATGTTGTAAATTTTAGGCATTTTAACCCCCATAAGATAAACATGAGAATAATTAAAAAAAATTGATGGCCATATGCCCAAATTAAAGTAATACTTATGGTAATTCTTACTTATGATTAACAGAATAATTCTATTTTACATTCTTCTTATCAGTTATACTTTCGTGAAACCCACAACAAAAATTAATAATTTCGTCACAGATGAATGACAATATTGTGTGTAATATACAGCAAGTTGTATAAATCTTTGCAATAAATGTATTATATACACTATAGTTTATACAAGGCAGGAAGACTTGTGCTTCATTTACTAAAACTACACTCTCTCTCTCCCATAAAATTTTACTCCCTCCGTCCCTAAATAAACTTCGTCTTTCATTTTTTCTTTGTCCCCAAATAAACTTCTCTTTTTCCTTAAAAAACCCCTTTTACCCCTTACCTTTTCATACCCTACCTATCACATCATACCTTTTTACTAATAATCTACATATTACATCTTACTTTTACACATCACATCAAGGATATTTTTGGAAAGTCAACACAAAAATATTCCTCTCTTAAATCATCAAAAAGTCAAAAACGGAAGTTTATTTAGGGACGGAGGAAGCACTATTTTAGAAAAAGTAAAATTTAAGAAATTTATAATTTTAGTACAACGTTATTTTCAAAATTTACTCTTACATATAAATTGTAGAGTAAGATATAATGCGAGATATAATGCGACAGAGAGAGTATATCTATAGACTATAAGGTAATGTTATACATGCAAAAAAATTGGCTATTTAGGACTATAATATATAGAAGGATGGGTTGAGATCAGTTTCATTATGTGAAACTCATTCGACCAACCAGCCATGCGCTGCTTCAATCTTTACAAGGCATCGTGTCCACCGGGTCCAGCCTCGTGATGGTCCTCATCGTGTCCACCCTGTCCAGCCTCGTGATGGTCCTCATTGTGACCGCCATGACCGACACTGCGGAGCCCACCGATTCCGTCGTGGCGGCAACGTTGGCTCTTCTCGCATCCTCGTTCGTAAGGCTTGTTGTACGCGTCGCTGCACCTCTTGTTTTTGTTCCGGCCACAATGGGGGGAATCAAACACTAAAGCGCCGCGCTTGATTTCCTTTGCTGCTCCCATGGCGAAGAAGAGATCTGTGCATGCAATGAGTGCCATTAGTAGACATACAACAACAATGCCTCTTGTTTTGGCCGCCATTGTTTTGCAATCTTTATTTATTAGCTTATATATGATTTATTTTGAAAAAAAATGTAAATTTATTGGTAAAACAATTGGTAGGAACAACCTGTGTGTGGGTGTGTGTGTGTGTATATATATATGCTCCCACAAACACATACCATAAGATGGATGTATGGTGAAACACTATTTTTGCCCTTTCTAAGGACAATATTAAATGAAATACTAGCCAAGCAATGGGGAGAGCATTTCATTAAAATGGTTGGCAAATGCTAAAGCTAGTGTTGGACACGATTTTATTATGTGGCCTGAGTTATCATTTATCTAATTAATTGATCATTGACCTAATAAATACCCTACGTATTTAATTGGTAATTATTCGATGGACGTAATTACCCTTATTACCTAATTAGGGTTTCCCTTGGGTGTATATATATATAGAGGTCATTAGGCAGAGAACAACACACCAATCTTACGCCTTCTCTCTGCCTCTCTATTCTCGTGAGTTATCCTCACCTTAGCCATCATAACGATACACCCTAAACGGGAACTCGATCTGCGTGAGAATCATGGCCTCATCCCTAACTACGTTTACAGGATTATCAGGTGCACATGATTAAATCCCTAATTTATATTTTATGTTTAAGAATTGATCAACATGTGGTATCGGAGCAATATGTTGATTAATCAATTCTATTTTTGTTCCCTAAATTATTGAAATTGAAATCGGAAATCAGTTTTACCCTAACCAGAATGGATTTGAGATTCTCTGTTTTCTGATTTGACGGTGTATTGCGTTTTTCATATTAAAATAATAACAATAATAATATTAATAAACTAATACCACAGTTATCGGATAAACAAGTTCTAATCCTAATGACTCTTATCTCCGATTGGTTGGTGTTTCATGTTTCTTCAAAATCATTTAGTTATACGCCGTAATAATTTTTTTACTGACATCAAACAAAAAAAATGATCTGCTTTGGAAATCAATATGAATGTTTTGATTCCCCTAAAATCTAGATCGGGCTTTCTTCAAAATTTAGTCCATAAAACTTTGGGTTTTTTTTATTATTTTGAATGTCAGTAAGTATAAATTTTTGATGAATTATACATAATTCTTCATCCTTAGTTTGATTAAATTATCTTTTTTTTTGTATTTGATTTGAAACATAATTTTGTTTCCTTACACTGTATGGCATATCTTACTATTGCATAATGTATTCTGTTTCCTTATTTATTAATTTATTTTTACCTAGAATAGCAAAACTAAGTAAGGAATATGCTAAAATACCATAAAAATTTAAAATGTTTACTTGTTGGAAAATCTCTTGCCTTATATGCCTTTTGATTTTCTAATTAAACTAATCTCAATGGGTCCCCAAAATTTTTGTAGTCCCACCCCGAATCGCTTTAACTTTTGCGATTAATTAATTACTTCCATTAAATTTATAAATCATTTGACTAATTTAAATAAAATTTATTTTATGATTAGTTAAATTGATTTATTTTGTTTGACTTGAATAATACCTTAGAATACACTTCTGCCCAAAGGTGATGTGTAACATTTGTAAAATTTTTTCAAGTCTTATTAAGCATTGTCATTTAGTGCATATCCTTAAATAGATATTTGCATGACACTCGCCTTAAATACATAATTTTTCACTTCTGTCCAAAGATGATGTGTTATAATTGTGTACTGCGAACTAAATATATATATGTGCATTAAAATTTAAATGTTTCACTTCTGCCCAAAGGTGATATGTTACATTCAAATTGCACATCATTATTTTATTATTCATAATACTTAAATAAGTGGTCATAACCAAAGTGAAAGCCATTTGTTTAAGTAGAATTAAATTTAGTCTATTATTTTGGTGTTATAATAGACTCTTATCACAGCTTCATTACTATATAATGGTCCTTATCTTCGCCAGCCTTAGTTCATTACCCCTTAAGTTCTTCTTTAATTATGTGTCTTAATTCTCTCATCTGAATCCACTATCAGCCCCAAATATGGGAATTGAAACCTTGAACGGTGCGAATTTTTCTTCACGGAAAGATTCACTGATGTTAACTCTTGGCATGTTGGATTTTGATTCTGCACTGAGAGAGTCTGCCCCTCCTGCCCTCACTAATAAAAGTACTGCTCAAGATAAAATAGTACATGAGAGATGGGAGAGGTGCAACAGAATGTCTCTTATGCTCATTAAAAATTCCATCAGCATAATCATCAGGGGAGCTATTCCAGATTCATCTAATGCTAAAACATATCTAGCTTCCGTGGAGGAACAATTCAAAGCAACTTCTAAGACACATGCTAGTACTCTTATTTTGAAGATGGTGACTACTAAATACGATGGGATAGCGGCATTCGTGAGCACATCATGATGATGAACGACATGGCCCGTAAGCTTAAGGGATTAGACATGGAGATCAGTGAAGGTTTTCTGGTGCACTTCATCATGACTTCTCTTCCTGCATCTTTTGAAGCTTTCAAGATCAACTACAACACCCAGAAGGTCAAGTGGTCGATGAATGAGTTGATTGCTATGTGTGTACAAGAAGAAGAGCGTCTGAAGCTGGACAAACCGGATGTGGCTTACCTCATGACCGCTAATCCAAAGAAGAGGAAGGGCAATGTCGATAAGAAGGAATTTTCTAAAGTCCAGAAACGTGATGCAAGTGCTTCTTCCAGCTCTAAGAACTCCAAAGGGAAGTCTTACTGCAAGTTCTGCCGCAAGGAAAGTCTTGGCAGTCTTTCTGTCTATGTTCTTCCTTGCGGCAGAACTTGCAGTAAGACTTCCCTTTGGAGTTCTATGGTTCATGTAACCAACTCACTTCAGGGATTCCTTACAATCCAGAAGCTGGAAAGAAACTGAAGAACACTTAAACTGGGGGATGGAACAGAACTAGCTGTCGAAGCCGTGGGAACCTTAGAATTAATAATGAAAACTGGTTTATGTATTAAACTTTATGATACCTTATATATTCCTGAGATTACTCGGAATTTAGTATCAGGACCAAAGTTAGACATAGACGGTTTTGATGTTTCTCATGGTCATGCCAGACTTACTATTAGTTTCAATTCTCAAGTGTTTGGTCATGGTTTTCTGGATGGTGGTCTCTATAAATTAGAACTAGATGATGATTTTTCCAAATCTTTGTTGTCATACAATATCAATCAGACACTAACAAAGAGAAAACGAAAACGAGACTTAGAAACTTCATCCATGTTGTGGCATCAACGCTTAGGCCACATTTCACGAGAACGTTTATCTAGACTCGTGAAGCATGAAGTGTTATCATCTCTCGATTTCAATGGTTTTGGAACCTGTGTCAAATGCCTTAAAGGTAAAATGACATCAGTGAATAAGAAAGGTGCCACTAGAAGTTCTAATTTATTAGTGCTCATTCACACTGACATTAGTGGTCCTTACTCTATCACTGTCATAACTGGACATAACTCATTTATCACTTATATTGATGATTATTCTCGATATATGTACTTGTATCTTATTAAGGAAAAATCTGAATCACTTATAACTTTTAAAGATTATAAAACTGAAGTTGAAAAACAACTTGATTGTCAGATAAAAGTTGTAAGATCAGATAGAGGAGGTGAATATTATGGTAGGCATACTGATGTGGGTCAAGCTCCTGGTCCATTTTATGAGTTTTGTAAGTCCCAGGGGATTGTGAACCAATATACCATGCCCGGTACTCCTCAGCAGAACGGTGTTGCTGAGAGAAGAAATAAGACCCTAATGGACATGGTACGCAGTATGTTAGCCAACTCAAGTTTACCTCTATTTCTCTGGACCGAGGCCTTAAAAACAGTCGTTCATATACTCAATAGGGTTCCTTCTAAAGTTGTCCCTAAAACTCCTTATGAACTCTGGACAGGAAGGAAACTGAGTCTAAGATATATGAAAGTATGGGGTTGTCTTGCCGAAGCTAAACTTTATAATCCCTTCTTGAAGAAACTCAACATGAAAACTGTAACTTGCTACTTCATTGGTTATCCTTCTCACTCAAAGGGTTACAGATTTTATTGTCCTTCCCACGTCACTCGCATTGTAGAAACCAAAGATGCTCATTTCCTTGAAGATTTTGAGGTCAGTGGGAGCAGTGAAAACCCTTATGATGAATTGCTAGAAGTACAAGACGTGGGGGGGGAAGACTTGTCGATTACTTTACCTCAAATTACTCCTCTTGTACTCAATGCCAATCCGCAGGACACTGCACCTCCTCCTATTCCAAATGTACCTGGAAATGAAGACACCTCAAATGATCACCATCAAGACAATGCCGCCAATGCTCAATCCGAAAATTTGCTCAGGAGATCATCTAGGTCTAAAAGGCCTACTAACTTTGATGATTATGTTACCTACCTGACTGATCGTCTTTACCTACGACCTTTCAAATGACTAGGATGGAGAATATTACTTCGGTAATTGTCACTAGTCAGAAGACTTACCTTATTTCGGTACTAACTTCTCGAACTGAGGTACTTCTTTTTACTACAAACCCTAAACCAACTTATACCCAACGGTGTAAAACCCGTAGGATGTAAATGGGTCTTCAAAACAAAACTGGACTCGAATGGAAACATTGAACGCTACAAAGCGAGATTGGTTGCAAAGGGCTACACTCAGAAAGAGGGAATTGACTATCAAGAGACCCTTTCTCCTGTCTCTCGAAAGGATTCCTTAAGGATCGTTATGGCCCTTGTAGCTCATTTTGACTTAGAGCTACATCAGATGGATGTCAAAACCGCTTTCCTTAATGGCGATTTGGATGAAGAAGTGTTCATGAAACAACCCGAAGGATTCAAGTCTGAAGGTCAAGAGCACTTGGTCTGTAAGCTGAAGAAGTCCATATACGGGTTGAAGCAGGCGTCACGTCAATGGTACCTAAAGTTGCATCAAGTCTTGAAGTCAGAAGGTTTCAAAAAGAATCAAGTGGATCAATGTACCTACCTCAAGATGAGTGGGAGCAACTTTACTATACTTGTCCTTTATGTAGATGACATTTTATTGGCAAGTAATAGTTTAGACATGTTGCATGAAATACACCGAGATAGAGTCAATGGTATTTTGGGATTATCTCAAAAGGCTTACATTGAGCGTGTCCTTACACGCTATAACATGCAACATTGCTCTCCTTCTGTGGCTCCAGTAGTTAAGGGAGATGTTTTCGGTTTATTTCAATGTCCGAAAACAGAGGTTGAAAAGGAACAGATGAGAATGATACCTTATGCGTCAGTAGTAGGAAGCTTTATGTATGCACAAGCCTGTACTCGTCCAGATATCGCTTACATTGTTGGAATGTTGGGTCGTTATCAGACTAATCCTGGTCTTGATCACTGGAAAGCAGCTAAGAAAGTTCTTCGATATCTACAAGGGACAAAAGACTATAAATTGACTTACAAAAGGAGTGATAATTTAGAAGTGGTTGGTTATTCTGATTCTGATTTTGCTAAGTGCAAAGATGATAAGAAATCCACTTCAGGGTATATCTTTATGTTAGCTGGTGGACCTATCTCGTGGAAGAGTCATAAGCAAGAGTTGACTGCAACTTCTACAATGATGGCAGAATACATTGCAGTGTACAACACAACCTGTCATGGGATGTTGCTCAGAAACCTCATCACTGGACTCAAAGTAGTTAATTCTATCTCTCGACCATTGAAGCTTTATTGTGATAACTCAGCTGCCGTTAGTTTCTCGAACAGTAACAGTTCGACTGGCGCTGCTTTATATCTTGATACAAAGTACTTGTTCGTACGTGAGCGAGTTGAGGAAAATAAACTTTCTATTGAGCATATGAGTACTAAGAATATGCTTGCGGAACTCATGACTAAAGGTCTCCCTCCTAAGATTTTCGAAGAACATGTTTCGAAGATGGGGTTCTCTAAAGACCTTATTTAGTTGCATATTGTATTTGCTTACATTTAATAATAAAATTTCCTCATTGTTTTGTTTGTTTTGTCTCTGAATGTGTCTATGCATGCCTAAAGACATATAGACAATATTTATATACAAAATAATGTTATGGGCTTAATTGTCAATTTGATCCTTAGCTTATTTAAGTTTTAAATTTGGTATTGTAGTATGATTAATGGGGTCTTGAATTGAATATCGATTCAATGACTGTATTTCTCTGCTACAGTTTCGGTTTAGAACTAAATTGAGTATTAAAATCTGATCAGACTTATCTAATACTCATCATAAATGATTATTCGGCCAAGTGGGAGAATGTTGGACACGATTTTATTATGTCGCCTGAGTTATCATTTATCTAATTAATTGATCGTTGACCTAATAAATACCCTACGTATTTAATTGGTAATTATTCGATGAACGTAATTACCCTTATGACCTAATTAGGGTTTCCCTTGGGTGTATATATACATAGAGGTCATTAGGCAGAGAACAATACACCAATCTTACGCCTTCTCTCTGCCTCTCTATTCTCGTGAGTTATCCTCACCTTAGCCATCATAACGATACACCCTAAACGGGAACTCGATCTGCGTGAGAATTATGGCCTCATCCCTAACTACGTTTACAGGATTATCAGGTACACATGATTAAATCCCTAATTTATATTTTATGTTTAAGAATTGATCAACAGCTAGCACTAAATGGAGAAAACAATAACCCCCAATTTGATCTAGATGTAAAGCTAGATCACACCTCATTTTATATATATAGTCATGTACAACAAATATATTTCATATTCACTCAATATGTACACATGCTAATTGATTGTACTTAGTAATTTTTTTATATTTAGGATCGGAGACCATATATATCTTATTAGGTACGTAGGGTTTAATTTGGCAAGAATGGCAACACTTATTGTTGAAATATTACACAACTAGGAATAGAGAATGATGACTAACTAAAATACAATATCTACCTCAAATAGGTATAGAAAGCTCACGAATGCTCAAACACTACCATAACCAATACTACCAGAAGTAATATTAGTATTATTGTCTAACATCCTCCCTCAAGTTAAACTTTGGCTGAAGCAATAGAAAGCTTGGACACTAACTAAAAAATGGAAACTTTGAGAAGAGAAAAGTCTGACGTGCGCCAGTGGTTGCTAACGTTGTTAGAAAAGAGAGAAGTCTAACGTGTGCCGGTGACTGCTGACGTCATTAGAAAAGAGAGAAGTCTCACGTGCGCTAGTAGCTACTAACGTCGATGAAGAAGAAAGAAGATTGACGTGCGCTAGTAGCTGCTGACGTCGAAGAAAAAGAGAGAAGATTGACGTGCGCTTGTAGCTGCTGATGTTAGAGAAGAAGAGAGAAGGTTACTCGAGGTGCGTGCTTCTTTAACTGAAGATCCTTGACACTCTTTGTTTTTTTCTTGGATCCGGGCAATGCCCTATTTCTTTCTTGAAGGGGTGTAGAGGTAGGGGTGAGCATCAGGTCGGTTCGGTCGGTTTCGGGCCAAAACCGAACTAACCGAAAAAAAATTGATATGCAATAACCGACCGAACCGAACCGAGTTAGGGCTAAAACCGAACTAACTAAAACCAAAAATAACCGACACGATTCGGTCGGTTTTTTATTAACCCAAAATAATCAAAACAATTTGTATTTTTTCATTAAAATCATCTCCCTAATCTTAAAGAAATGCCAGATTCAATGAAAAAAATGTATGACCAATTCAACATGGTTTACAGATCATTATGACTTACTTAGAGGAAGAAAACAAATGTCAAGCTTCAAAAGATTAGGGCCACCGGACAAATATCAAATCGCCAAATTAACAGTCCAGGTTTGGGGAAGAAGCTTCGGGTACCGGACGACTTGGGGAAGAAGTTCAGCGGCTTCAGTGCTTTAGCCTTGCACATCTCAATTCTCAATCTGGGTTTGGGGAAGAAGGTTCCCACGCAAATCGAAAAATCGGCTGAAGCTTAGGCCGCCGGACAAACATCTCAATTCTCATCTCAATTACAGGACGAAATAGGGTTTGTGTAGGTTTCATGCTTCAATTTGGAGTGGGCTAATCTTATTTGGGCTTTTAAAAATACATATTATTAATTTGTTAAATTTTTATATCGGTTATTCGGTTAACCGAAAAAACCGATGACCATAACCGACACCCGACCGAAAAAACCGAGATACCCGAAATTTTTATCATGCAAAACTGAAACCGGTTTTACGGTTATTTCGGTTTTCGGTTTCGCGGTCGGTTCGGTTAATTTGCTCACCCCTATGTAGAGGTATTCTTTCCTCTTTCATTACTTGTCCTCTTGGCTTTGCTTTTGTGTTGTTCTTTTTTTGGAATTTTTTTTGTTAACAAAAGAGAAAGAGAAGAAAGATTGATGATTAGAATGCAATGGGTGATTTGAGAGAGAGAATAAGAGCTTAAGAATTGGTGATTAAGAAAACATCTAGGTTTGAGAATCTTCAATAGGGAATTGTAGAAAAACAACTATCATTTTTTCCATGATTTTGAGAAGATACAAGGATGAGTTGAGAGAATTTGTGAGGAGTTGAGTTTTTTTGAAGAACCATGGAGATGACAAGAGACAATTTTCTCCTTTGATGGTTTTTTTGGTTGATTTCAACAGGGTTTTTTTCTTTCTTTTTTTCATTTGAATGGAGAAGTTGATTTGAGGATAAAAAAGGAATAGAGGTGAATAGGGTCGAGCCGTCATCGCCGGAATTACGTAACGGCGGCAACGGTAGAAGCAAAGAACTCTTTTAGGTCGCCAAAAGCGGTGGCTCTGATACCATGTTGAAATATTGGAATAATAATATTACTCCTT